ACACACACACACACACACACACACACAACACACACACACACACACACACATAATGTTCGTATGTAGTCTCCTGATTTTAAATGGGAATTAAATAATTTGAGTGTTCCCAAAGCGTTCTGCAGTTTGTGTGGGCTCACTGTACTGTTGCACAGTTTTGGAAGATTCATAGCTAACCACACTGAAGATTATGGATTATCTCATATTTTTAAGCCTCAATTTGTCCTCCCCTCTAACATTACCAGAAGTCATAATTTAAGGGGTCATTTCTCAAAAAAATCTTCCGGGGGACGATCCCCCGGACCGCCCTAGTATGGTTTGGTCACCATTTCCATAGTACCAGCCGCCACTGTCTATATGTGAATGGAATGGCTCTTTTTAAAAGGGTTAAAATTCATGAAGTCACATTTTTAAGATTTGCCCTGATGGTTGAGAGCTTAAGATATGGACCATGAAGCACACTGTTACAGATCTCTGTTATTTCTTCTGTCTCCTTACATTTAAGCAATCACCTCTGGACTTTAGAATAAAAGTAAAGCATTTTAAAAAGAAGAACAAATACAATAAATAAATAAACTATACCCTGTAAAGTGGTGCTGTTAAATTCCACTTCCACTTAATATATTCTTAATACACCTCAGTGTTTAACAACTCTAACATATATAAGGCCATCTGAGGTAGTTTGAAACAAACTGTGCACTACCTAGGCCAACTTTCTTATTGTCCATTTACACATTATTTGATGATACTCCATTTTAAAAGATTTGGCAACATTTTGTACTATGTTCCATTCACAGACTTACTCTGCCAACCATCACACTCCTTTACCTGCTGATCTCCACCTGCTGTCTGTCCAAATAACAGCGGCCTGTGGGTTTCCAGGGTTCAGTGCTCAGGCTGGAATCCTCAACTACTACCGCCATGACTCGTCACTAGGAATCCATGTGGATGAATCAGAACTGGATCACAGCCGGCCGCTGCTGTCCTTCAGGTGAGAGGGAGGGATTATTCTCTTCATCGAGGCTTTAAGAATAGCAACTTTAGTTTGTTTGGTTGTTTGTTTTATTGTACCAGCAAATGGAGTGGTGCAGTGATGACGTTTTTTTGTATGTCGACACGGAGGGGAAAAGCGCAAGGGCTCCCTGGAAAAAATAATAATGGGACTTTACATTGGATTTCGTTATATTGCAGAAAATAAGCATAAAAACATATATTTATTGTTTTTATCACGTATTGTTCAGCAAGTTAATCACAGCATTCTGACAAAAGTTTTAGGATTTTTGAAGTAAAAAGCTAACATTAGGCCAGGGGTCAGAAACCTTTACTATCAAAATAGCCTCTTTGCCCCCTCTTCCACAAATAAAATGTTGTCTGGAGGCGCAAAACACATTTTATAAAAGCTCATTAAGTTTTATATATAGTTAAACTGTATACAAAATCTATGGTTTGTTTATGACACTAAAGATCAACACAAGGCATACTTTGAACAATTAGAGAGCTCTCTTCCTCTCCATATGTGGATTATAAATCAAATACAAATTCGGATTTTTAAAAAGAAAAATGTAGCTGCAGCCTCAATGCTTTGAAAGAGTAAACTAGTAGAGTTTGATTTCAATCATGACTTAAATCCGTCTCAGTGTGCCTTTTCCGCCGCCACCTGTAGCTACCAGCTGTATCTGCATAAAGCCTGTCTGTTCAGTGTCCGTTACATCACCGGCCCCTGACAGGAGATTAGTATGCATGCGCTGAATTAATGTCCGGAATTCGTTGCCCCTCTAATGGTGCCGTTATGGTCTTTGCTTAGAGCACATGTGTCAAACTAAAGGCCCGGGGGCCAAATCAGGCCCGTGGTGGATTTAATTTCGGCCCGCAGGATCATTTTTAATTACTATTAGATCTGTATATTGCACGCACACCTTCACTCAATCCTGAGGTTTTCCTCAGCTCAGAGCCTGACCCGAAACATTGATGAACTTGCACCCAAGATGAGATGCCAAGTATCTGGCTTGAACTAGAATCACAGAGCAGCACACTGAGTTTACATGGATGTTTCCTTCTGCATTTTTTTTTCTCACGACAACAGTGCATGTTTGTTTTTTTCTTTGAGGGAAATAGTTTTTTTGAAGCGGTTGTTGGCCTTTGGACAAATTTAATCATAAGAAATGACTCCAGAAAAGCTGCAGATAGAGCCATAAGAAATGCATGCAACTGATTATTTAATGTTGTTTTTATAGGCAATAGTTGAAGCTTTGTTAGTTCCAGGTTTGTGCAATAAGTTCATTTCAATAAGTTTTGCAATAAACATTGAACCAGTCCGGCCCTCGACTAGTACCGATTTTTTTATTTTGGCCCATTGTGTATTTTAATTTGACACCCCTGGCATAGAGAGACAAGATGTTCCTTTCAAAATATGTTCAGCTTTGCAAAAAAAGATAAACAAAACGGGAAAGCCTCTTCAGCTTATGTTAACCATAGAACTTATTTCAGCATTCCAAACAAACACATTCAAAGAACCATTGACTTCCAGCCAAGGGAACCTTGGCTAAAAGGCTGAGTCATTCCCAGGTTGTAGGACTCATTCCTGCACCACTTTCATGGGAAACAGAACATTGCCACTGACTTGTCTTTATTCTGACAGTTTCGGGCAATCAGCGATCTTCCTCCTGGGAGGCGTCCGCAGAGAGGACCCCCCCACTGCTATGTACATGCACAGTGGGGATGTGATGGTGATGTCGGGACAGAGCCGCCTCTTTTACCATGCTGTCCCACGTATCATTCCAGGCCCCCAGGGACAAACAGCTTTAGCGATGGAGGGCTGCTGCATGGCCTTCTTCTCGCAGGACAGCACTCTGGGGGGGGTGCTGTCAGAGGAGGACTGGGCGTTGTGCACCAGGTATATCCAGAGCTCCAGGCTGAATGTGACTGTGAGACAGGTGCTGGGACCGGGGCAGAGATTACCAGAAACACCCTCTCCTCCACAAAAGACTGATGCAAGCCAAGTGGGGGGGGTACCAGGACAGACAAGCCAATGGAGAAAGGAGGAGGAGTCGTCGCTGTGACCCTGTTGAGACTTCAGAGACACAGACCCTGCTGTAAAATGGAGACATCTGATACCAGAGGCCCTGTTCAGCCAGGCAGTAGCATCAGATTCTAGTTTATTGCCAGGTACGTTTACTCATATAAATAATGTAGACATATGCACCCCAGGGTTCCAATGCATTTTCAGTGTGACTGAATGCATTTACTCCTGTACCTTTAGCTGTCCACTTGTAATTGGAACACCCAATATGATCCTCTGAATCTTCCAATAGGAAGTCTGACTTTAAGGACATCTTATCATAGCATCATATCGAGCTACCTGGTCAATGAACAAAATCCATGATAATGCATAAAAAGACAGATGGTAATTTGATCATATGAGATTGACCACATTCTGAGGTGCTCATACACATTTTGATCATATGTCAGCCACCTGCCTCGCCTCTTCCTGCTAACTCAAGAATGCCTGGCAAATCTTACAAATACCAGTAGTAAGAAAGTCTTCACCAGGGAAATCAAAGTCTTCCATCCTTGGCATTGCTTTTCTTGACCTTGCACGCACCATGTCTACTGTATTAATAAGGTGCGAAAAAGCTTGTTCCCTGTTCATGTACATTTTGTCTCTGTTTTATTTCACTCATCCAACCTAAATAAAATTGTCACACTATAAGAAGTCATCAACCTTGCCTTCATACCCCATTTCTTACCACTTTTCCTTTAGATTGATGAAAAACATCATGGGGTTATGGGATAATGTAAGTAATTCATCAGGGCTTATTCCTAAACAAAATCTTAAGAACAGGGGAAGAATTTTAAATAATTTGCATTTTGCACTGGTGGATCATAAGCAGGTTGTTAGTAGAGCTTCTGCAAGAGGAGGGTTCAAAGAATAAAAAACGTCTTTGACAACCACGTTTCCTCCCAAGCCACAAAGTTGCCCGTCTGGACTTTGTGAACATGGGACATTGAAAGATGAAAGAAAGTTTTAATTAACTGACGAGAAAAAATGTAACCTGGATGGTCCTGATGGCTTCCAACGTTACTGGCATGACAAGGAGATCCCACTGGAGATGTTTTCTACGCGGCACAGTGGAGGAAGTTCCATCATGATCTGGGGTGCTTCTTCCTTCAAGGCACATTGGAGCTTCAGGTTGTGCAGGGGCGTTTTCTACCGGTCTAAAGTTTTTGTTAAGGAGTGTATATTTACATCAGGCGCCTCATTCATTACCACGTATACCATTTTATAAAATATTTATTTAAAAAGAAGGATAACAGCAATTCCTACAATGAATAAACTATCAGCTGTTTAATTTGAAAGCTTTTTGCTTATTTTCCTATAAAAAAAGTGATGATGCTGTGTGCAGTTTTCCCCTCCTCAACTCCTTGCCTCACGTCTGATTAGTCCCGCCCACAGGAGATGCGAGCGGAGGAGAGAGGAGTGGAAGCAGCTTAGAGAAATTAGAAATCTGATTGTAATTTTAAAGAGACGTACATTAATGATGACAGGAGGCACAGCAGCACTCTGTCTATATATTTACTTTTAATTCATTCACAATGTGTTATAATGAGACAATAACAGGCTACAGATGCGGGCAGGCACCGGTATGATTTGAGTGAGGGGGAAATATTTTTCATAACAGAGCACTCACATAATAACATAACACTATCAGAGACTGGATATAATTCAGAGAAATTAGATGTCCTTCAAGATGGCGCGCTGACATCGATTTCGGGTCACTACCGGAGGACCAAGGAGGAGAACATTTTAGAAATGAGAAAGGGCTTAAATGTTTCTTCCCTTTTAAATCTGATTAAATTACAATCTGCTTATGTTTGACAGAAGAAAACGAATGAAAAATCAAAAGGTATTTTAGATGAATACCAAATAATGATGAGACATAGCCTGCATATCATTTGATAATATGTATTTAATTCAATATCTTCGCCACTAAGCTTGCATAGTCAAATCCATTGCATTATCTCTGCTCATAAAAAGTTCCTGGTCCCCAAGTGTCCATGTCGGATGGATGTGGAGGAGTATACCGAAATAGAAGAGGAAACTCATGTCCTAAAATCCACACTGATCCATTCAGACACCATTTGGGCAACTTCTCGTCCTGCATCGAGAACGAAGGCATGGCGGAACCCGTTCTCACACAGTCTGAAGTCTCCGTGTGGAAAGTCCTGCTTGATGTCATGATAATACTGAACAGGGCACCAGTGGTCGGTCGCTCCATAATAAAATATCAGCTAAAATGGGAACAGATAAACAGTGACATCTAAAAACAACCTTAACAGATAATTCGAGCAACTTTTGTTTTTTATGTTATGAAATATTCACTAAGTAGAAAGTATGCAGACTCTAAATGTGATTACACTATGTGTAGGCTTTTTCTTACCTTTTCTAGGTTTTTCTTGATGGTTAAGTCGTCTCTTTCCAATACTTTCTTCATTTCCTGACCCCCCATGTACATTGCATTGGCTACAAAAAGGGAATAAAACACATGATATGCCTAGTCATTGCCTTATTTCTGCAGAATTATTAAATGACAACGGTGTGGGTGGAATCAAAGCTAAACATAGTTCAAGCTGAGTACTATATTGCGTTCCCCCGTTCTAGTACTAGGAGCAGTGGGCTCTGGTGAATATCCAAAGGGGCTTTGTCTCATAAAATCGGGGGATGTTAACAAGTGACTAAATAAACTACTCAACGCCATTCCGATTGACACGATTTTGCCTTTAGCTTAGTGTTGGTGATACGCAGACATGTGACCGTGCTGTCGTTCCTTTATAGCCTAACGATAGCTTTTTACTTCTGGCGATTGCATTTACGCTTCAAAAATTGGTTGTGTTGATATGTGCGGATTATCCTACTGCACAAAAAAATATATCAGAGGTGTGTTTGCCACAGAGCTTATTTCCTGCAATATGATGGACAAATCACATTGCTTTTTGTTGAGGGCATACAAACATATGTATTCACTGCAACATTATATAACATCTAAAGTAAATTCAGAAATAGTAAGGCGAATATTCTCTTTGTGTCCGATGTGAACGCAACATGACGTTAGCAAAATTGTTTACAATGATTGGGTCAGTGGCCTCATTTATAAACGTGGTGTACGCCATCTTTTGATCGTACGCTAATTTCGAAGCAATGTTTCTTAAAGTAAAAAAGCATACTTGACGGGAAAATGTGCGGTCCTCCACAGACCCATGCGTACGCACAAAAATGTGAGTGATTAGAAACTGCGACACCTTTCGCAGAAGGATGAAAGGAGAGAAATATGTGAACAGAATACCATAAAGTACACACAAAAACATAACTTGGAGAAATAAATAAAAACGGATATGTTATTGAAAACCAACCATTCTCTTCATGTTCTGAAATGTATTCTCATAAATGATGCGGTAAACAGAAAGAAATAATTACGTTTTTTAATTGACGCGGTTTTGCATTTCTGTAGGTTGTGAGTTTTATATATTATATAATTCTGTTCAAAATGTGATCCAACCTTTAGAGGCCACATGCTTCCACTCTTTGTAATGTTCATACTGCGTCCACCAAACAATATTATTTACTCGTGACCGACTCCAACACAACTAAGATATCACGCTTTCGTCTTCATTCAGTCAGTGGAAATTAATATTAATACGGGCCGTTTCTTTGACTATTTATCGGCAAATATGGGCGTTAAGTGGAGCCCGCAAAAGTTGCACCTCATTTGTGGTTGACTGTGATTCATAAAGGGAAACCGGCGTAGGACGTGCGTGTGCAGTGTTTTAATGCGTAAGCACTTCCTTTGTTCCTACGTACGCCATCTTTTCACGTGAATCCTACGCAAAGTTTTATAAATGAGGCCCGAAGGCCCTAACACTTCGGCAAAGTGCAGAAGTGACTGTTTTCTGCCCCACAGACACAATAGACTTTGCATGGCTTTTGTGTTTGAAGGTTGAAAAAAGAAAACTTAGGCAGTAACATGTTCAACAAAGAATGGACATTATGAGCATCATGAAAGTAAAGAGCAATTGTAACAAACCAGCACAGTCTCCACTGAGTAGACCTACAGTCGGTTGTACTACAGTGTGGTCCAGAGAGAAGATGCCGCCTAACGCCAGTCGGATCAGGCCTGCTTTGAGGGCTTCAGGCAGCAGAGAAAGCAGGAAGATAGGCAGGTAGGCCACATAACGCAGTCCACACAGAACAGGGGTCATGAGCTTCCCCTGAGGAGTCTGAGCCATGCGCTCAATGGTGGGAAACAGCATGATGGACTTAAGAATCTGCATCAAAAAACAAAGCGCTTACAAAGCACAACGGGACATAAAAATAGACAAATAATTGGAGGTAATAGCTAGGGTGTACACAGTGTCAGCCCATTTTATGCAGTGTGTGTGTGTGTGTGTGTGTGTGTGTGTGTGTGTGTGTGTGTGTGTGTGTGTGTGTGTGTGTGTGTGTGTGTGTGTGTGTGTGTGTGTGTGTGTGTGTGTGTGTGTGTGTGTGTGTGTGTGTGTGTGTGTGTGTGTGTGTGTGTGTGTGTGAGTCGTGACACATGTGTGTATAACAGATTCTACATATGTCTAGTAAACAGAGGCGACGGGAAGGTTATTTGAGTGGGGGTGCTGAGGTGCTGGACTCCAGTGAACACTATTACGGGCAATATAGAGCAC